TGGAGAGATATTCCATGTTTGTGGACAGGAAGACTCAATATTATCAAAATGTGAGCACTTCTCAGCTTGACCTATAGATTAATGCAATCTCAGTCAAAATAAACTAATTCCAAAGTGTATATGGAGAGGTAAAAGAGTCAGAATAACTAATACAATATTGGAAGAGAAGAATAAGTTCAGAGAACTGACACTAGCTAACTTCAAGACTTGCTATAAAGCTACAGTAATCAAAACAGTGTGGAACTGATGAAAGAAAAAACAAATTGATCTATGGAACATAATAGGCCCACATGAATAAAATCAATTGTTTTTTTATGAAGGATCAAGAATATATACAAGAAAGCCACCATCAACAAATGGTGCTGAGACAAGCAAATATCCACATGCATCATACATAGATCTAATTGTAAAAAGTAAGTCTATAAAACTCTTCAAAGATGTCATTGGAAAAAATCCAGATGGTCTACTCTTTGGCAATTGGTTTTAGATACATCAAAGACAAGATTGACAAGAAATGATAAGCTGTATTTAATCAAAATAAAATTTTTCTGCTCTAAGAAATACATTGTCAAGAGAATAAAAAGAGAAGCTGCAGACTGGGAGAATGTATTTGCAGGAGATAAATGAGATAAAGAGCTGTTAGCCAAATATACAAAGGAAGTTTTTGGTGTGTGGTGCTGGAGATTGAATTCAGGGCCTTATACATGTTAGACTAGAGCCACACCACTGAGCCACACCCCCAGATTTTAATAATTCAATAATAAAAAATAACCTGGTTAAAAAATGAACCAGAGACATTAACAGACACCCCACCTAAAAAGACATACAGTTGAAAAACATGTAAATAGATGCTCCAAATTATACATCAGGGAAATGCAATTTAAAGCAATGATATTTCATTCAATGATATTTTACTCTTATTTCAAGTTACATTCCTAACTTGAAAATGATAGGAAAATGGTACAACAATATCATAAGAGTCTGATGGTTTCTTACAAAACTAAACCTACTCTTCCCATAGAACACAGCAACTGAAATTCCTTGAGATTTACACAAAGGACATTGAAACACTGCTACAAAAACCTGAATAAGAATGCACATAGCAACTTTATTTATAATTGCCAATACTTGGAAGCAACCAAGATGTGCTTCAGTAGATGAATAAATAAACTATGATACATTCAGACAATGAAATATTTTTCAGCACTAAAAAAGAAAAATGTGCTAACAAGCAATGAAAAGACACGGAGCAAATTTAAATGCATATTATAAGGAAAATACACCAGTTTGGAAAGGCTACATGCTATATGATTTGAATATGGCACTTTGAAAAATGTAAAACTATGGAGATAGTAAAAACATCTGTGGTTATCCGAGGTGAGAGGAAAGGAAGGATGAACAGGCAGAGCACAGAATTTTTAGGGTAATGAGAATTGCTCTGATGAATACTGCAATGGTGGATATGTGTGTCATTATATGTTTGTTAAAACCCATAAAAAAAGCAAAATAACAAGAGTGAGCCCTGATGTGAACTATGCATTTTGGGTGATCATGATATGCAGTGTGGGTTCATCAATAGTAACAAATGCACCACTCTGGTAGGAGATCTTGAGAGTGGGGGAATGGCAGAGGTTGTACGGGTTGTATATAAGAAATCTCTACCTTCTGATCAAGTACACTATGTACCTACACCCTGCTCTAAAATGAAATCTACTAAAACATTTTTAAAGTTATGGATGATTGAGTAAATGTTTGAAACTTTTATGAAAAAAAAAAAGATTAAATGAGTTAATATAAGATTAGATCAGTGCCTGGCATATTAAATGCTTAATAATTATAGTTCTTACTAAATAATTCTTACTAAATAGCATATAGTTCTTACTAAATCCAATTGGTTTTAGATACATCAAAGACAAGATTGATGAAGTCTCTGTTATGACTACCTCCATTTTACACATGAGGAAACTAGCTCAGAGAAGCTAAAAATAAAACTGCTTATAGTCACACAGCTAATACTGGCACTGCTGTGAATCTCTTGACTCGAAGTTTGGTGTTTTTTTCTACCACCTACCCTACTTCCACAATGAGACTATAAATAAATATATCTGAGTCAGCAAAGACATCTTGCTTACATTCCTAACTTGAAAGTGTTATACTAATTGTATGTAAAATAATTTTGATCAAATATCACACCTCCAGAGACAGCGATTTTTAAGGATATCATCAATTGTTAAGCATTTAGTTCAGATAGGACAAGGTCCTTTAAGGTCCTAAATCTCTTGTTGAGTTAAGTAGTTTAGGAAGACTGCAGACAAAGCACAAGATCAGGTGTCAGAAACTCAGGTGGAGTCCTGGTTTGCTTGCTCACTGCTCTGGCATCCTGGGTAAGTTACTCAAACCCTCTTCACGTTAAGTGATCATTGTGAGTCCAAAATAAGATAAAGGAAGTTAGTGCAAAGTGAACTACAGAACTCTGGAAAAGTAGAAGGTATTACTCTTATCTCACAATCCAGGTGCCAGAAAAACCTATTTCTTATGAACATTGTCTCAAAGGCAAAACTGCTCCCCGCCTTTCTGAAATGATCCTTTCACAAATACACAAAATTAAATGAAATTTCTCAGCATTTCACAGCATTTCCATTCCTAGAAACCATGAGCTAAAAAAAGAACACAGAGATATTCACTTGGAAGCTCCAGCTTATTTTCCTCCTTTCTTCTTTCAAAACTCTGAAGAATATTCAAGTATTATATCCTTTCATCCTTAAGCCTCCACATCAAAACTAGCTAAGGAGATTTTTGTTCCAGGGACAAACCCACCATCTTCCTTTAATTGCATGACTGTTAACCACTGTAAATTTGTTGTTCCCTGGACACTGCAAAGACTGGAAGGTGAGGTGGGGGAGGGAGAACAGGGCTCATTGAGAAACAGTGAGAAAATGGGGTGTCCACTGACGGGCGACTGTGGAGCCAATCAGAAGAGAAATCTGCAAGTCCAAACCTTCTCACCTAAATAAACAAAAGGAACTTCTCACCTGGGTGAGTACTGAAGCAAAAGGGAATAAGCAAATGAGTAAACACCATTTCTATATCCAGTCCAGGTGCCCTGAGCAGCAACCTCTTCACCCCCACATCACCTGGTTATTCTGCATAATCCATCACTGTCTTGTCTACAGTCCTACCTGTCTCTTCTAACTCACCACAAGAGTTTAAAACCACTCTCCAAATAACCAATTGTTTTAGCTCATATTAACTCCCCAAATAACTGTAAGTAAAGTTTTATTCCAGATTGTACAGATGCTCCAGAAAAAAAGTCTGGAGGTAGGAAGATGGCAATGAAGTGTTTAAGCACAGAGGAAATATATTACATGTTTGACAAAAACACTGGAGCAATAAAATAGCAATAGGTACTAGACAAAATAAAAGGCAAGGCAGTTATCAACTCCAGGAAAACAAAGAGCTATATAAGAGAGGAGTCATGGTCGTATGATATTGTGGGCTCAGTAATGAAAAATATTTTTAAAATCATAATATTATTACTCTCAACTACTAATTTAACAAAATACTGTTATATAATTTTATTGTGGATTGGATGGAAAGAAATTGTGTGAAGAGTAAAAGTGCTATCATCTTTCCCCTTAAGTCAATAAACAAAGAAGAAATAGTAAATGCATGTAGTCAATAAACAAAGAAGAAATAGTAAATGCATGTTTAGGATAAAAGAGCAAATAACAGGGAAGCAAAGGTGTTATTATATTTATATGTGTGATATATATATATATCATATAAAAATATAAAAACACTTTTATATATATATATATAACACATATATATACACATAAACATAAATGTGTGGATAAATATATATATATATATATATATTTGTAAATATATGTGTGTGTATGTGTGTGTGTGTGTGTGTGTGTGTGTATATATAACTACAGAACTCTGAAAAAAAAAAATATATATATATATATATATCCATTTTTTCAGAGTTCTGTAGTTCACTTTGCACTAATATTCTTTACAGGGATATAACATCCATTACAGGGATGGATATATATATATCCCTATAAAGATGGAGCCAAGAAATGGAGAAACACACTATTTTTTTCTTTATGAGCCTTATAATATTTTTTTGGTTTTCAAAAGTATGAATATGTATTACATTGACTAAAAGTATATATCTTAATAACTAAAATTTAAAATCTCTGTGACTACAAGATGTAATCAAATGTGAAGGCTGTAGGAATACAACTCAAATAGTAATTACCTCAAACCAAATAATCATAAACATCTTTATTGTTGAAATCTTACACACTCATAAAAATGTTTTCTTCTCTCTTTGTAATATACCACTTCAAAAATCACAAGACTTACCATCAATTGCTTTTATATTACAACAAATTATAAAATATCTGATGAATCTTCCAATGCCTCCGATTTATCACAGGAACTAACCTAAAGTACTTCTTTTGCTAATATTTTCAGATTAATCTCTACCATGTTCTTGCTTTCAGTCATCAGAGTCTATATTAAATACCTCAATTTATTCCAATTAATAACAATTGTTTTTATACTAATATTTACATATACTATAAATACCTAAACAAAGCATAACATTTTTCTCTCAATAAAGATAATTCTTTTGTAAAAACAGAATCAGCTTTAAGTTTTTAAAAAATATATGCCTATAAACTGAAAGGATATATTCTCCAGTAATAAATCTAAAATTTTACAATGATTACATACCGTTTCACAATTTTCTTTGAAGTCTGGCTTTTATCTAAAGCAAGCAACACACCCCATTCCATTAGTTTTAAGTCTTCCTGAACTAGACATTTTAAGCTTAGAAATAATGAAGTTGTACTGTGAAACATGCGCATTCATAGATAATAACAGTCGATTAGCATTCATCTACTGTGATTTAGCATTAAAAACAGACAAATTGTTTTAATAAAAACCAATTCAAACATCACATTTAGGAAAAGTGATTTGTTTACCTCTGTTGGTTTGTAGCAGTCTACAAGAGCTTCCTGGAATTAAACACATGGAAAATCAGTTTTATTATTTTAAAATTCAATGCCACTTTTAAAATGCAATTAAAATCATTTTGTCTCTATACTATTATTTTTACAATGATAAATCAAGACCTCATATTGGTTATCCACAATCAAACTTTATTTCAACACCAGCTGGTCATTTGAACATATTAAAATATGCAAGGATGCACATACATGCATGCACACCTTTACTTTAGAAAGTTTTAAAATAGAAAAAGACAGGGTTTTTATGCTCTTATAGCATTGAAAACAAACCCAACCATTGACTAGACTATGAGCACCACTGAGGAGAAGGACTTACTTTAAAAAATCAGGGGGAAATGAAAGTGACCATCAGGTTCTAGTCTGCAGAGAGATGCATACTGACTCTGAAGCTCAACCCAGGATGGCCCTTAACAGGAAGTGAATGCCCCACTGCATTGTTCTTGCATTAACTGAACCAGAGGGATCCTCTAACCCACCTACCTGGTGCATGTCCACCTTTCCTTTGGGCTGTATACTTTGTTAATATTAAATTGTATAAACTTGAAGTTGAGATCACCTGTGCAAGAGGGTGGTGATCACAGTGGACCTGGAGAGGGAGCTTGGTCATAATTCAGCCACAGGTCAGCTTAGGACCCAATCTCCTCAGGTTCCATGTCTCAGCTGGGAATCAAGGTGGGGGAATGACAGCTAAGAAAGCCCCTTTCAAGTTCTTGGTTTTAAAACAACCTTTTAATGTCACTCTACTTCCTACATAACTGGTATCTGCCTTATCTTTTTTTTTTTTTTAACTTTTATAACTAGGATGCTATTGTCTTCCAACTAAATCTACCCACAAGAAATAATCATTATAACTGAGGCTGTCCACCATTTGAGGGACACTAGTAATTACTAATACATTAAACATATCAATGCATTAAAATGTGCCCTTTGAATTGCTTTATGACCATTCATCATTGGTAATAACCATTAACAGTAATTATCCGTGGACATTAAGAACAATGGCAGGTTAAAGGTTAATTAGTTTTCGAAACTTCCAAATGCAATTTTTAAATGATAGATTTGGCCTCCCGTGGGAAAGACTGCACCTATTTTATTGCTTTCCACTAGGAAAACAGATGTTGGCACCCCGATCAATTTGCTAGAATGCTGTCAGGTGAGATCTGTTAAAAGGTATCTTACTAAATAGAATTATGCCATAAGCAAACTAATCCAGAAATTAATGTCAAGCATGATACAATCCACCTCTGGGCTTGGACAGTCCCAGTCCCACTCAGTTCATCTCCCTCTTATATGCTTGTGGGCACCACTATCCTCCCTGAAAAATGATCTTTGGAGGTGAAACCAGCCCTCTTCCAATAAAATGAAACTGGAGAAGGTCACACCCAAAAGGTGTTAGAGAGCAGACTACAGTCAAGAGCTGATTTATCATCAGAGATGCAGCTTATGAGGGTGAAGACCCAGCAGTGAAGACCCTGTGCTTCCCTCTCTGCAAAATGCCCCCACCCAAGCCCTGGTACCAATGCCCCCACGGGGCAGATTCAGCTCTGGCAAAGCCTTGGAGACCAAATGGATTCAAACATCTGAGGCTAGAAATATCTTGAATATCTTGAGAGCAGCTTACCTGTAGTTTTAATGCTCTCTCTTCCTCACTGTCTGCATCAAGAAGGTCGTCGATATCGATTTCCACGTCTGGCATTTCTTCTTCCTGTGGGCAAAAATGAAGGCATTTTATTTATGGGAAAATGTATATTGTGCCAAATCAATTTAGTTGAGTTAAATAAATGACTATGTTATCTATGGAAAGGGGATGAGGGGTAAGAAAGGGAAGGAGATACTTCAGGGAAGAGGAGGGGAATGGGAGAGGATAAGAAAGGGGAAGAGGGGATGGGGAAGGAGGGGAAAGAGAAAGGGGGAAAGGAGGGAAGGAAGAAAACCACAGAGGGACGGAGGGAGGGAGGGAGTCAAGAGCTTTAAGAGTCACAAAACAAAAAAGTGCTATTCAGAAATGACAATTTTCTACTTGCTAACAGATCATACCTGTGTGCTCAATGGCTGGGCAGGCAGCCCACAGACTGGGTGGGAAGAGTCGCAGTTTCCCACCCAGCATCTACCCCTCTCTGCCTACTCAGTCTTTATGAACTGACCCACATGTCCCTTCAGAGCTCGGGGTCTGGGAATACCCCGAGACCCCGTGATACCACCACAGGTTCTGGGTTTATTAGCAATGCCCCAGCCATTTCTGATTTGAAGAGGATGTGTGATCCAACTGAGACCCAGGGAGACTCTGGGAAAGATACTCTTCCTCCAAGAGCACACCCCCCCGCCAACACACACACACACACACACACACACACACACACACACACTCCCTGTGAACTGAGCATGGGTTGAGGAAGCACATAGCCCTGGAAACCACGAAGAGAGGCTGGTTCAGGATGAGGCGGAATCCATGCTGGAAAAAGAAGGGAGAAACAACACAAAAAAAGCAGGTTCTGGATAAAATTACCAAGACATCAGGTCAAACTATGTCTGAGTAGGTGAACAAACCCTGCATGTGGCTTTAGCCAGTATGGGTTGAGCAACCAAAGATATCCAGTCCAGAAAAGAGGGCTTTAGAAAGGTGAAAGGCTTGGCTAACTTGGAATCTAAATTTATTTTTTCTCTTTTTAATTTGTTCTAATTAGTTGTACATGATGTAAAATTCATTTTGACACATCATACATAAATGGAGTATAACTTCTCATTCTCTGTTGTGCACGATGTACGATCACACTGGTTGTGTAGTCAGACATGCACATCGGGTAATAATGTTTGATTCATTCTACTATCTTTCTGTTAATGGTTTGGATGTGAGGTGTCCCCTCAAAAGTTTACATGTGGAACAATTCAAGAAAGTTTGGAGGAGAATGATTGGATTCTGGCCTTAACCTAATCAGTGAATTGATCCCTAATGAGATTAACTGAGTGGTAACCTGGAGGCAGGTGGGGTGTGGCTGGAGGAAGTGGTTCATTGGGGGTGTGGCTATGGGGTATATATTTTGTATTTGGAGAATAGAGTCAGTCAGTCTCAGTCCCCCGCCCCTCTCTCCCCCCTAATCTCCATATGAGCTGCTTCCATTTGCCACACTCTTCCACCATGTTGTTCAGCCTCTCTTCAAGCCCCGAGGAATCGATCCAGCCTTCTCTGAAACCTTGAGCCCTCAAACTTTTCCTCCTCTACAGTTATGCTGGTCGGGTCATTTAGTCACAGTGGTGAAAAAGCTAACTAAAACACGTTCCTACCCCCTTACCCCCTTCCGTCCTTTCACTCCACTCTGCTAATCCAAAATACCTCTATTAGAATCTGAACTTCTAACACAAATAGACCTGGGCTCCTTCTCATCTCTTCTGTTACCTAAACTACTTCTATACCTCCCAGATCTTAAAATGTCAAAATAAAGTAGCATGTAAGAGAGACCTGTAATTTTGCATTTCATCTTCTATGTGCAGTCACCTGCAGCCCAACTCCTCACAGCCACCGGAATGGCGGAGCACTATCCTCAGGAGCTGGAGAGAAAGCTGCACACTAGGACACCTGGAAGGCCCCCCACCTGGCTTAGCTACTCTGTGTAAGCTATCTCATCTTGACTTCTGGGGCAAGGCTGACTTTCTGAACTCTTCTTTTCTAAGAAAATGAACTTAGTACTCGACCTGTTATGTGTTTGGTTCCAATACAAAACAAGGACCCAAGCACATTGGAGAAACAGGAATATGACCCCCTACCTCTAGTAACACTAGATTCCAAGGGCAGACCCTTAATGGGCAGGAAAATTCCAGAAACAATCCTTCATTTGAGCCACTAGTGACTTATCCCTGGTCCCATGGAGAATTTCTTTTGAGAGACTTTGTTCGGATATTAAGAATTAACCCACTTGGACACAGTATTTATTATGGATGTGAACATTTCAGGTCTCATCTGCAAGGCTTTACCTGGTGGAAGAAAGATTTTGTATTTTCATATCTGCACTTAATGATAATTTACCTATTAGTGGAAACTGGTGATCTAGCAGTAGGAAATTTCAATGTTTTGACAAGAGTCAGACTGCAAGGTGACCTTTCTCTTGCTAGGACATGGTTTCTGGGAATCTGGCAGCTGGGTCAAGGCCAGTTGTGACTCCAGGGCAAGTTATTCTGTATATAAATGATAACTAATGACATATAAATGATATATTAAATGCCAACTGACTTTGATGCATGGATTAAATTAGTTATTTGATATCAAGCCATCAGAATAGTACCTGACACACAGATAAGACAACCAGAGCACTGGTGATTATTTCTAAGGTATTATAAAATAAACTTAAAACACAATCACCTGGTTTCCCAGGATATCAAGGTGAGGGGTATGAATATGACTTTGAGAATAGCTGAGGGTACCTTCCTTGTCCTGGGAACTTCATCTGTATGAGCCAATGTACACAGGCATCCCTGGCCTCTGAATGGATGCTGCTGGACTGCTGTGACTTTGCCGTCCTTCCCTGGATCCAGCCATCTCACACTCACATCCAGCCAACCTCTCAGACTAATACAAAGCAGGTGTTTCCAATGAGACGTCATTTTTTAACCGCTCCTCAGGGGTGGGTCAGGAAAGTGGGTACTAGCGTGCCTCCATTAGGGAAGAGGATGCCGGAAGGATCTCAAAGCTACACTTTGTTGCCAGAACACTGGAAACCCCACCCAGAACTTTGGGTATTGCTTTGCTCTACAGGTGCAAGCCTCCCTGGCCACCACCACTGACCCTCCACCATGTTGTTGTTCTCTTGTCCAGATGTTCTTGTGTCCAGCCATCTAATTTTGTGTATATTTGGAATCATGTTGAAAGGAACACTGGTAGGAGAAGAAGAGGAACTTTTAGGAGGACCTCAAATAGAGAGCAGTCCATACAACTTGAAAGTGTACCTTGATAAAGCAGCAGAGCTTTCAAAGGTTGGCCAGAATTTCCAGGGAAAGGACCACTGGGGACACAAACACCAACAAAGAAACTCACTAGATTACAAAAGAACTGACAACCCAGAAACAGGAACACAGATTGCTGGTGGCAGGCCCCAGCACAGATGAATCACCCTCAGAATGGCCCAGTCCAGTGGAGGGCAAAGGCCATCATGAATCAGACCCTGAAGAAGAGCTGAGCAAATGCTGCATTTGTGTTTTGGAAAGTGCAGCTCAAGATGAATTCAGTTACGTCCACAATACCAGGTAGCTTTAGTAGCCACCATACAAGGCCAGAACAGCCCAGCCGGTCTCAGCCAACTGCATTCAAGAAAAGCCAAACAAAATAGATGAATCGGCAAGTCCCAATCTGTGTGACAGTCTACAGAGCCTCCTCCTACCTTCTCCTGCTCTTCCCCTCAACCAGTCCCTTGGTTCAGTATTTATATTCTGTAGACACAAAGCATACATTATGTCATGGCTTAATGAAATCAAGCAGAGGAAGCTGGATATAAAACCTGTTGAAGGAACTGCAGCCAAGAGGAGCTTGGTGTCTACTATTCTTAAAGGGAGTGAAAGAATAGTACGTTCCCAGTGCTCTCCTCAGAACAGCACAGCCACACGGTTCCTGCAAACTTTACTGAAACACTTTTGATGACACTTGGTCAAATGGCTTTCACTGTGAGTCAGCCAGATGTCCCTTCATTAGGACTGCACAGGGTTCTCTGTTAAAGGTACTGTGTTTGACCTATCTCCCCAACCCTCGAGATCTGGGCTGACCCTATGGCAACCACATGTGGTACTTAAACTTAAATTCATAACAATGATGACTTCCATTCTCACTCACACCAGCCACATGCACCAAACAGCTACTGCACTAAAAAGCACAGACTTAGAACACTTTTTGTCATCATAGAAGGTTCCACTGGACAGCGCTGACCTACAGTCCACTAGCTCTCTGGCCTAGAATTAGGAAGCAAAGCCCCTTTCCCCTCTCTAAAGGGCCTGACAGAAGGCAAGGAACCTGGTATCTCAAGGTCACTCCTACCACCCAAGGGCATGTGGCTGGGAAACCCTGGGCAAGCTGAAGCAAGCAGAGTGCTCATGGAGTAATCATGGCCCTCATTAGGCATCAACACTTTCCACCCATCTGTGAGTCTCTCCTTTCTCAATCAGATTCTTCAGGCCTGGGAGGAGAAAGAGCTCAACGTGCTTGCCAGGAGCACAGAGCAGGGTGTTCCCGCTGCTGCTGGAGATTCTGCATCCAGGGAGAGTCTCCTCAGCCCTATGTTCCAAATATTAATTAATGCTAGAGCAGTAGGACGGAAATTCCTTAGTGACAGGCCAAACCCTTACAAGGGAGTGAAGACACCCACAGCCACCCACCACAGTGTACCAGGGTTTGGTTGCATTTGGATATTTGCCTCACATTAAAGATGTCTCCCCAAACAGTGGCTGTGGTGATAAGAAGTGAAACAGTGGTCTTCAGAGTCACTGGGGGAGGTTACCGGCTAACACAGTTCCTCATCAGTCAGGGGCCCTCCTGGTGATACTGATGAATCCCCACTGAGAAGCAGCGGCAGAGTGGTGGCCTGCGCAAGCTGGAGTGTGGGCTGTGGGCACCAGCGCCTGGCGTGGGCCCGAAGCCTGGTAAGCCAGAGCTGAGGTGAACCAGGGGGGCCCCCACCCTGACTGGTGAGCAGTGAGGAGACGGAAGTGAGGGCAGATCCTGACAGA